AGGCAGCATTTAATACCATCACACAGAGATTGTGTGACGCGCCGATTCTTACCTTGCCAGAGGGAGTAAAGGATTTTGTAATCTACTGTGATGCTTCAATGATAGGTATGGGAGCAGTTTTGATGCAGCGAGGCCATGTGATAGCTTACGGCTCTAGATAGTTGAAGCCCCACGAGGCTAACTATCCGACGCACGATTTAGAGCTGGGGGCAGTGGTGTTCGCCCTCAAGATTTGGAGACATTACCTCTATGGGGTCCATTGTACCATTTACACGGATCACAAGAGTTTGAGGTACCTCATGGATCAACCGAATCTGAACATGAGGCAGCGTCGATGGTTAGACGTGGTAAAGTATTATGAATGTGAGATCCTCTATCATCCAGGAAAGGCCAACGTAGTGGCCGATGCCCTAAGCCGCAAGGCGATAACAACCCCGATCAGGGATATATGTCTGAGGATGACAGTGATTACTCCATTGTTGGAGCAGATTAAAGAGGCTCAGGTTGAGGGCCTAAAGGAGGAGAGGAAGAAGTGTGAGAGAATTGTGGGCCGAGTAGCTTCCTTTGACTACGATAGTCGAGAATTGTTGACCCTTCATGGGAGAGTTTGGGTACCATACTGGGGCGGAGTACAGCAGGTGTTGATGGACGAGGCTCACAAGTCTCGGTTTTCCATCCACCCAGGGGCGATGAAGATGTACAGAGATCTTCGACCTGACTATTGGTGGCCCTGCATAAAGTGGGACGTAGCTTGGTATGTGGAAAGATGTCTGACCTGCAAGGTCAAGGTGGAACATTAGAGACCCCATGATAAGATGCAGCCGTTAGACATTCCCGTGTGAAAATGGGAGGATATCACTATGGATTCCATCACTAAGCTTCCCACGACCGCACGTGGTGTTGATTCAATTTGGGTCATAGTGGATCGGTTTACCAAGAGCGCGCATTTCATACCGATTCAGGAGAGCATATCGGCCGAGAAGCTAGCCGATATTTATGTGCGCGAGGTAGTGGCATGTCATGGAGTGCATGTATCAGTATTATCAGATTGAGACGTCTGCTTCACTTGTAGGTTTTAGAAGCGGTTTCATGGCGAGATGGGGACTCATTTTCACTTCAGCATCGCTTTCCACCCTCAGACGGATGGGCAGAGCGAGAGGAAAATTCAGACTCTCGAGGACATGTTTCGGGCATGTGTTTTAGATATTTGAGGCAGTTGGGATACGTATCTTCCATTAGAAGAATTTTAGTATAACAACAATTACCATGCCAACAATTACCACCCTCCTTTCGAGATGCTTTATGGGAGGAAGTGTAGGATACCAATTTGTTGGGGTGAGGTCGGTCAGAGAGTCATTGGGAGTATGGAGGTGGTACTCATGACCACAAAGTTGATCCAGCAGGTCCATAGCAGACTGCAGACTGCACAGAGTCGGCAGAAGAGTTATGCCGATAGGAGTCGTTCGGACTTGGAGTTTCAGGTGGGCAATATGGCTCTCCTGAAGGTATCACCCTGAAAGGGTGTCATCAGATTCCAGAAGTGGGGAAAGCTGGGCCCCATATTCATTGGTCCATTTAGGGTTTTGGCCTGGGTGGGCCGGGTTGCTTACTGTTTGGATCTTCCAGCAAAGCTCATCCAGATCCACAACACTTTTCATGTATCTTAGTTGTGAATGTTTTTGGTGGACGAGTCAGCAGTTGTACCATTGGAGGATATTCAGGTTAATAGCAGCCTGAATTACATCGAGAGACCCATTGCGATCTTGGATCGGTAGACGAAGGCCTTGAGGAACAAGGTAGTTCAACTAGTAAAGGTGCAGTGGCAGCACCGGAAGGGTTCAGAGTGGACGTGGGAGTTCGAGGAGGAGATGTGGGAGCACTATCCAGAGCTATTTTCAGATTCAGTAGCAGCAGACTTCGAGGACGAAGTCTGATTCAAGTGGGGGTGAATTGTAACGTACGTCCCTCGAGGTATTAATTATTTAATTATTTTAAATTATACTTGGGCCTATTATGGAAGAAAAAGAGTATTGGATTTGGATTTATGCACTTGGGCTGCCCATAAGACGTAAGCGGGGCGTAGCGGACCGCGGTTGGAATCGGGGACACGCACACTTACATGCAGCGTACCGCTAGCTACGCGCAATGTAAGTGAACATATAAGAAAACCCTAATTTAAGGGTTTGAGACCTATTTAAAACCCATTACAGCCTCCCTCTGGATTATTACCAGTCTCCTCGTTGATCGGTCTATATTTATAACACAATAAATTGTACTAAATATGTTGAATTAATTTATGATTGCCCAAGAATGGCACTACTTTGATGAGTTGTCGAACTTTATATGCAGGTCATTATAATTGGATGGAAACTACAAGAAAAATGAGCAAAATGAAGTTAAGAAGCGTGGGAGACGAATTCCTAAAGGAATGAAGAAAAATGGTGCTGAGAAATTTGACCACTCTTCAATGTTTTGATCATATCTCAAGATCTAGAGCTCCAATTGACATGAATGAAGAATTTATGAAAACTACACAAAATTTCCTACAACTTTCATGTTTTGCCTTTTCACTGATTCTACCATTTTCATCACCAAAAAGGGGCAGCAAAGATGAGGGACATCCTAGAACGCGTCTAAGACGTCCCCTAGGATGCCTACCCGTTTTAGGCCATTTTCAAGTGCAAATCAAGGACGACAGAAGGCATGTAAAATGTCCTGAAGGATGCCCGAACGTCCTATATGACGTTTAAGACGCCTACTAGGACGCCGACGCGGAAACAGCTCCGAAAATCAGTTTTTTACCACCTATTTAAGGCAGATTAAACCCTAATCGACTTAGGTCTTCTCCCTGCGATTTTACACAGTTTTAGAGGGTTCCAAACATATTCAAACCTTCTTCAAACTCATTTCTGGTCATCAATTTCCAAATCCAAGGCTACAAATCACCAAGTTCACCATCATTCAACAATTGAAGTCATTCAACTAGTGGATCTTCATCAAACTCCAGATTTGGTTACTTCTTCTCCAAGGTTTCATCGTTTCATGATTGATTGATCATTAGATTTTATTAGTTTTATGATTTCAAGTTGGTTTATGAATTTTATTATGAATTTCATTGTTTTTATTTAAGTTTTGTGTTTTGTAAATTCCATGGAAGGCTAAACCACCTAGGTTACTTTCGGGAATGTTGTAGGATGCTAAGATGAACGTGCTTTGATTATTACTTCTATTCCAATCAACTTTGGTTATTATATGTTCTTAAATTTATGATTTCTATTAATAATAATTGAATTTGGGTTTTATTCATGTGTTTAATTTTACAATTAAGATAGTTTATTGTCAATTCACTAATCGTGATGAATTCATATAGCTTAGGAACTAAGACGATTGGTTGAATCAACATATACTATTCCAAACTTGTGATTTTAAATGCTAAACATTGTAATTGGTAATCATAAGACACAATATTATCAATCCACTCATTGTTCCTAATCCATTTAGACATAGGGAGTAAGATAATTAGTATGAATAACGTATTGTGTGCCCAAAGTTATTTATTGCATGTTGATTGACCTTAGTTATGTTTTCATAATTAATTTGGAAATTAAGGGAAGATAAACACGTGAGTCTTAATCATCCGAAACAAAACCTGAAGTAACCTTATTTTTCTCATTGGTACTCATTTGCAATATAAAGTTTCTAGTTTTTTATTTATTAAAATCTTAGTTTAAATATTTTTCGTGACAATTGCAAGTATTAATTCCTTTTCGTTTACTACTATAGCACAAGGTTTGACCACTAACTCCTCGTGGATTTCACCCTTACTTACCCTAGCTATTTAGTGGTTTTTGAGGTTATTTTTTATTGAGACAACGACCTTGATCACTCCCCCCTAAGAAAACCCTAGCATGTCCTTACTCTCTCTTTTGTGTGATTTTGCTCCTTGTGAGAGTTTTTAGTAAGGAAGAAGTTGTGAAGAAGGAAAGCAAAGGTTGGAGAAGAAGCTTGAGCTCAGAGATTTGGATTAGACTCACTCTTTGTCACCAAAAGAACCCGGGGAGTTCAGGAGCAGCAGTAAGACAGTTTCAGATTTAGTATCTCAGTAGACAACGTTACAAGGTGAGTCTTCCTTCCAGTATGAACGGGTCTACGGCCACAATGTCGGTCCGTTTAGTCAGCAGTAGTTCCGGACTTCGGTCTGATGCAGTAGTTAACTGTGCTTGAGGTCTTTGTGATTCAAGCCTGTCTTTATGTTATGTGTTCCGGACTATGGTCCGATGCAGTATACAGTATATGTGTTTATGCTAGTAGTTATGATTATGTTATACTATGTTCAGTCAGTTTTTGGACTTTGGTCCGATGCATAGGGCAATGCCCTGGTTAGTTTCTAGACTTTGGCCCGATGTAGTTCCGGACTCGATCCGATGCAGTTTCCGGACTTCGGTCCGATGCAGAGGGCAAGGCCCTGGTTAGTTTACAGACTTCTGTCCAATGTAGTTCCAGACTCGGTCCGATGCAGTTTCCGGGCTTCGGTCCAATGCAGAGGGTAAGGCCCTGGTTTGTTCCCGGACTTCGGTCCGATGCAGTTTTTGGACTTCGGTCCGATGCAGTTTTCGGATTTCGGTCCGATGCAGTGGGAAAGGCCCAGTATGTGCTTTATATGTATTGTATGGTATGTGGTAGATTGGGGGAGCTCAGTAAGCTTCATGCTTACAATTTTCAGTTTTTGTTTCAGGTACTTCTGCTAGTAAGGGGAAGAGCTCGGGTTGATGGCATGGCATACACCATAGTTACAGTTTTATCCTGGCAGTTTTATTCAGATGTTTCAATATGATATTAACTTCAGTTTTTGATTTGATACATTTATTATGGTATTTTAAGACATACAATGCATGGTTTTATTATATAACATTCGATGTTGTGGGGTTTTAATAATGTTAAAACAAAAAGTTTTGGGTTGTATTTTTGGGATGTTTCATGATGGTCCATATGTAGATCCAATGTACTTGCCTGCATTATACCATAATACTTACAAACAGCCAATCCATAGGATGAATGGAAAAAATATGTGGCCTTATGTTGACTTGATACCCCCTTTGCCTCCATTGAAAAGACGTATGCCAGGCAGGCCAACAATAAAGAGAAGAGGAGATACTTCTGAACGGATAGGAAAACACACTGTCTCCAAGGCAGTGAAGAAAGTTTATTGTAGCATATGTAAGGAGAAAGGACACAACAAGGCTACTTGTAGTAAAGGTATAGGGACATCCAAACAAAATGGAACAAAGAAACAAAAAACTATATCTACGCAGGAGTCTGTAAACGTTGCCACTGGGGTTGGGGATGATGAGGTAATGGTAAATGCTAGTGATGCTTTGGAGAGGACTGGTAAGGAAGAGCGGATGGTGGGATTCAATGGACGAGAGGAAGGGGTGAAGGTCAATGCTCGTGTTCATCAAGTTAAGCATGTTAAACCGCCTAACAAACGAAAGAAGTCAGAAAGAATCATTAAAATGAAGCTTGCAAAAAATGTGGGAGGTGAAGGTAGCAGTCTTGCAACGGACATAGAGTTGAATTAGATAATTGTTTGTTATTTGTAGTGAATGTGCGTTGCAATAAACAAATGATCTATGTATGTTCTTTTATGGTCTACTGATAGGTCTATTTTATGCACCTATTTTGCATGTTTTTTTTCGTATTTTTATAGCATTCTACTTCATAATGTTGCATTTAGTTAATTATTTGGGCAACTGCATGTTTCATTAAGAATGTCTAGTAATGCGCTATTTTTTATTTATTTGTCAGACAATATGAAGCATGGAGCTTTGGAGCATGAAGTGAAGATGATCCGGTCATGCCATGGAAGAGAACATAAGACATAATCGAGTCATTGTTACACTATCATCATAGTAAAGGACTACGTTTGAAACACGGTTCATGTCATACCGACACGATTCATGTTTGTCCTTTCTCATCTTATATTTGAGCAACATGACTCGTGGTGAAGCTAGACTGAAGACGGAGCCACCAGTGAAAACTTTTTGGAATTTTAGAAAAAAGCATGGGCCATGCCGAAAACACATGGTCAAGACAAATGGTTATGCCAAAAACACATGGGCAAAAGGCATGACCATGCTAAAAACGCATGGTCTTATGGAAAGCATGTGAACACTAAATAAAACAAAGACAGACGTCATTTTATGACACATAGCGGTTTTTGGAGTAGTTCTTACGATCTTGGGCAATTTTGGGAGGTTTCTTGGAGTTTTTGAGAAGACCTAATCATTGCAAACACTTTTGCTTTCATTTTTTTAAGCATTAAACATTCCAATTCCATCTTTATTCTTGTTTGATTTGTTCTTAGCAATGTGTGGCTAAGAAACCCTAGTTTCTAGTTCTTGTTCAAAACATGTTGATTTCTTGACTTGAAACATATGATTTGATGTTTGATTTATGATTCTATTCTAGTGATTATGTTTTTGTTCAAACTAGAATCCTTGAATTTGATTTGTGTTTGATTGACCACTTTCATGAATTGAATTTTTGTGGTTCGACCCTACTTGCCTTGCACTACTTTTTAGTGCATTAAAACAATGTATTTGGAGTTAGTTGTACCCCTATTATTTGTTGGGTTTGACACGCCTAACATCTACTATGTTGTTTTGTTGTGTGGTAAGTTGTTATATGGCATGTTATTGTTGTCCCGTGCCACGAATATGTAGGGGTTTTATGGACATTTTAGTCATTACAAAGTAAATTGACCAATTTGGATGTGGGGGTAATTAAGTCATTGTAAATTGACCATTTTGGATGTGGGGGTAATTAAGTCATTGGAAATTGACCATTTTGGATGTAGGGGTAATTAATTCATTATAAATTGATCATTTTGGGTGTGGGGGTAATTACGTCATCGTAAATTAACCATTTTGGATGTGGGGGTAATTTAGTCATTGTAAATTGACCATTTTGGGTGTGGGGGTAATTAAGTCATTGTAAAAAACAGGGTACTTGTGACTTAATCCATTTAACATGAAAAAGTCCATCTTTAGAAAACTTTATTTTTTTTTTTTCCAAAAAGGTTTGCAGACAAGCAGACACAATGCATCGTATGCAAAGGTATTGTTTAGTTTTGTCCCTTTTCCCAAACTGCACCATTTGTGGTCCTTGTTTATGTGCATTAAAAAGATATATTCATTTTGCTTTGGCTTGTGGTCTCGTCCCAGTCGATGGACATCCACATGATTGGCTTAGGAACAAGTTATTGAAACATATATAATCCCTAAATGTTTCTTTCTTTCATACACACATATAGATACAAGTGTAAGACAATTTCTTTTTAAATAATAACATATTAAAACACATTTTAGCCATGGGTTTGTTTACGTCACTTTCTACTATTGAATAACCTATTACAGGGGTCACTGACAAAAAACTTCACCAAAAAACGATGACCATCAGCAACCCAGGCAACACCACCACCAAATATACACCCCAACATCACAAACTAATACCAGCAACACATACAAAATCTACTACTAATATTGACATTAAACAACATAAATAACACACAAAAACACAAACCCATGACTGAAATGCTTCAACCTACACAACTTTTTTCAGTTAAAGAACATATACGTCACCACAGACACAGTAACAACACCAACAATCCCAATACAATATTTCAACTTCTTATGTTTGTTGTGCTGGAAGACCATCTTCACATATGCTCCTTGCAGAGAAACAAAATGATTTTTAAGATCAACAACGAGATTTGAGATATCCAACTGACCAGCGTGAACGTCATCCACTTCACTGTTCATGGCATCCAAGTCTCGATTAACTGCTTGACGGCGCTCACACAACTGGTCTTGGAAGTCCTCACGTATAGGAGACAGTTCCAACTGTGTTTGCAGTAGATTGATGGCCATGTCTTCGTTGGCTACACCATTCGAATGATTCTCATCCATGTGACGTCGGTAGTTTGGAGACCAGATGTGTTCTGCATGTCCGATTGAAGGCATTTTAGAGTAAACTTAGAGACGAGATTGGGGTAATGAAGTTTGCAGATGTGCCGTTTTAGGTCAAGGAAGTCTTGATTTTATATGGAGGTGCTTGAATAGTCGATCCTTGCTCCTTACGATTTGCCTTCAATACGATGTCGTTACGGGAGTTTGACGCTTTAAATTCTTTCCACGTCATCGTTTACGTGTTAGGCTAGGTTTATGTGGCAACGTATACCAACTACAATAGGTGAAAGGGATTATATTGATAGGTAACAGATACTTCTTTCCCTTATTAAACCACAAAATAAATTAAGTGGTTAAATGGGTAAACCCTAAAAACATTATAGGGCTTATACGTCATTTTCCCTTCTAAATTAATATATATATATATATATATATATATATATATATATATATATATATATATATATAATATGATATTTGTCATATGGCGAAGCCTTGTCTATTTTCTTTTATTGTTATTAATGTCAAAGAAAACATATTAAAAGACACAATTACAAGTATTTTCGACCAAACACGACTACAATAAAGAAAAATCAAAATTTTTATTTACCATTGTTTTATCAAACACTATCATATTTTGATTTTATTGGAAATACGTTAAGGTTAACAATAAAATATATAATATTAATAATGTATAAATTAATTTTATTAATTATATGGGATATCAACTATATGAATATTACAATTATTATGTGGTACATTCAATGGAATATATGCATTCTGTCGAACATTATGCATTATTTCTAATCCATTAGAACATTTTCATATGTTGTCACGCCAAAGTGACAAAACTATAGACATTGGGTGCGATTCTTGTAAATCAACTTTCACATAATGGTCATTGTGAACGTAGGAGAATACAACAGATCCATGATTTGAGATGTCTTGTGGACCACGCGGAAGCGGGAAAACAGGTTAACGAACTATGCTTGTCTAAATGTAACATCCCAAAAATTCTGATAAAAATTTTCATTTTAAAACCATTAATTCCATACAACTACAATTTGTTTCAAAACTAGTCAAAGTAAATTGTATTTTTCAAACATCAGAGTAAAACAAAATATAATCAACAGGATGATGTGTACGATCACTCATTCACCTTTCCACAATCACCACTGATACATGAAAACATATATATACAACTAGGTAAGCACGAAGCTTAGTGAGTTTCCCTCAAAATATCCCACACAACAACACATATACATTGCATGGACACACACACTGATAAATATTATTTCTAGGTTCATACTAACGACTATAAACATAAATATAAGTTACACTTGAAATAAAATAAGTGTAGCTTAACTTACAGAAATTTTAGCGAAAATCAGGAGATTGCATTGGTAGAACTCTGACCCGAGAGCTTCTACTAGTCAATCCTAAATACCCAAAGCTTCGCTAAACTAAAATACTCTGAAATCCCGAAGAAAGACTTTAAAATCCGAGCCTAGAAGTTGAGAAAGGTATGGAGATGAATAATGTCATGAAAGAGTATTAATAGGCAAAATTTTGAGAAGGTGTGCCGCTCTCCTCCTGACACGTTGCATGATTTCACTCGTTCGACGTGAACCCTTCTAGAAACGCGCAGCGCGCCTTTGTGTGCATGGTGCAAAACGTAAATTTTGTAAATTCAGTTAGTTCTTCATACGGGCTCCGTTTTTGACGTTCTTTATATCTACATGTAACAGCCCGAAATTCAAGTACAACCAATTAGCCTTCATCTTTTATTTAATCGTCATTTTTGGGCCTTTGTGTTGGGCGAGTACGTTGGGCATACAAGGAGTACACTGCGCGTACTCGCGCTCCTCATTATAACGCGTTATCACCCGGGTATGCTGGGCGTAACCGGTTCAGACCCAAAACCCTAATTTGGGTTGTTGGTTATAAAAGCAATGAGATGGATTGGTTCCTGATATGTGCATATTTAGTTTGTATTAAGTATAGATTTTTATTCATTTATTAGCTAAATTATTTCATTTCATGGACAAAAGGTACTTAAAAGTGTTTGAATTGTATTTTCAGTCCAAAAATGAAGCTCGGAAGCAAAAGGAAGCAGGAGAAGCGGTTAGGAGCTCGGGAATTGGATAAAGAAGAAATACACCAAAAATAGCACCTACTTGGCTAGTAGGATCGACTACTCGGCGAGTCCAAGTGAGGATAATGACTCGGGAACCCAGATGCTTATCGCATACGGATATTGTGAGACGGACTCGACGAGTCGATACGCAAATATATAGATAACTTCTCAGATCGAGGAAAAAAACTTCTGGGATAATTCTGGAGTAATTAGCTGCGATTCAGAGGCCAGAGAAACCCTAGAAGACGAAGATAGAAGCTACAATTCAATCCTGAAGGAGATTTGAGGCAAATTCCATCATTATACTTAATCTTTTGTTTTCCACTATCGTTAGACAATTAGAATTCGTTTTTGTGCTGTTATTTACTTCAATCATGAGCTAAAACTCTTAAACTTCTGTTTGGGGGTACAAAATTGAGACTATGGTTTGAATATTGGTAGGATTAATTCAATGTTGGTGATTTATTTGTTATTT